GGTGCTTTTTTTACCCCATTCACAAAACAAGAGCCAGTCCAAACTAAGTTACTGAGGTTTGTATTAGAAGTCTTATTTCCCATTGCCACATAGCCTGTGACACAGGAAACCCCAGATTTCCAGCAAATAATGTCAATTTTTTATGAACTTGAGTTTTTAACACAGGAATAAAAAGTACACCTTAACTTTCACAGGAATTGCTGTACCTCAGAGTTACTTTCTTTATGAACTCTATGAAGACAAATATTTGTGTTGAGATGTCACACTAACTTACAGCTTTACATCATGTGTTTATTCTGTACCAGTCCAGCTTTCTCGTTGTGCATCATCTCATTTAAGTCAAAATACTTCTGGTAAAAAGGCCAACCAAATAGCGACTTGAGCATATTTGAGAAGGAAGATGATGGGCCAGACCCACAGAGAAGGCAGGCATGGCTGAGCTGAGCCCTGGGAAAGTGGGACCTGAGCAAACCAGATACGGCACAGCACAAGTATTCAAAGGACACTCCATTTCACCTCCTGAAATGGCAGTTTTGCAGATGCTTTTGCCTATGTGCAGGTCCCTGACCGTGGTTGAATTAAGTACCTGGAGAACTGGCAGCTTAACTTGCCCCTCCACAGACTTGCCCTGCTTGTACAACACGTGGCTCACCTTCTGCATGTGAAGTGGATGTAAAACACTACCCTCCAGGTTTGTCAGGGTTTGGTGAGAGCAGAGCCCACTTTTTATTAGTAGTGGTTCACTTATATTTCACACAAAAAACTCCAGTGACTGTCCACCAACAGCAAATCATCTGCCCCTGTCTATGGCCCAGGCTTACTTTTTTTCCCCCCACTTGCTGGTACTGCTGCCATGTGGGATGAGCCCGAGAAGCTTTCACAGCCCTTTGCAGGATAGCAACTCATACAAGGCTGAGCACTGTTCACTGGATCGCTGCCTCTGTCTTCTCCCATGATAGCCAACAGAAAGACTCATCTCGCATCAGTGAGGAGTGAGCATTGATCTGACACTAACTACTAACAGGCTGCAAAAATATCAATAGTGTATTTTGCAACAGTGCCCCAAATCTTGGCAAATAAGAGTTCCCACTCTCCAACTATTTTCTCCCATTATATTGTCCCATTCTGCTATGTATATTAATTGGCTGTTTTGGTTTGCTATTTAGCAGTCAGCTTCCTTTTAAGCTAAAGCTCATTCCCCTTAACTGTGTGCTTGCATAGCTTCTGTTCTGATGAAAGGTTAAACAGATCTCATTATCCATTTCCTGCAGAGACCCAATTTCTACAAAAGGCCTTGAGCAGGGTGATATGATTGGCAAGAAAGAGATTACAAAAAGTTGTTTTCACCCTTAGCCAAAGACTGAGAAGCACAGAGACCGTTTCAAATTATGCTCCACATGTGTCGCAGCAACTGGGCAAAACATTCAGCTTCTTCTGCTTTTCAGTTATTCTCACATTTGCCCCTTTGAGCACAGCATCCTTGGATGGCATCCTCCAACATGTCAACACATTAAGCAGCTCAGGATAAAAGACAGTACAAGTCAAACTTTGCCTGTTTCTCCTGAATTGTTATACATTGCTCAATGTTGTCTATTAAATGGCGAAGCAGCCCCTGCTGTAGTCCTGACAGACAGCAGGGAGCAGGCCAGAAGAAGAGGCAATCTCACCCTCCCCAGTCTCCTGGGCAGGCCTGGTTCGCTTCTTGTAGAAGAAAAAGCTAACTAAGACCTCAGGGTGTCATGTTATTTACAGGCACAGAGTATCTGGCTCACCACAGCTGAGCAGCTTAGGGCAACAAGATGCCCATACACAGCCCCAGTCCCTTTCAGGAGCTCAGTCCTCTTGAGGGCCCCAGAGCCCACACAACCCATTGGGCTTTGCACAAAAGGAGAAGGCAGCTGTGGTTTTAAGACTCTGCTGGAAGAGAAGACTCTGCTGGAAACAGCCCAAAGTCCCGCCTCCCCTTTTTATTTATCCAAGGGTTTATCACACCCTACACTGCCAGCACCAGTAGTTCAGTTCAATTCTCATTTCTACCTGAGGGGCTCAAACCTGTACCAGGGGCAGTGCCTCATTCACCAGGTGTAAGCCCTTCTGGTGAGGGGACACCATCCCATCCAAGATGGCTTACTTTGCATGTAAGGGAACAAGAATCACTGTGCCAGTGTGGACAAGAGCAAGCAGGGAGCTTTTGAGGAAGACTTGGAGAGTTTCTGGAGTAGAGGGCTTGAGCATCCCCCTCCCAGAATAGGGTTCAAGCCACATACTCTAAGCTGGGAGGTACCAGCTAAGGCTATGCAAGCTGCTATGGTCTGGTCAAAAGATGTACTCACTCCTTCAGCTTTCTCTATCTATTAACTCTGGTAGGTCTAACAAGCTTTGGATCAAGTTCTGGACTATAGACTCCTCTGACTTTAGTTATTCTGGATCAAGGTCTTGCTGCCTGCAAGGTCCTCTGCAGGATGCAAAAAACAGAGGGAGCCAGTCAAGCACTGGGACAATTTGAATCTTCATCTCTAGATGTTTCCAAGACCCCACAGGACAGAACCCTCAACAACCCCACCTAAATGCAGAGGAGCCTTGAGCTCCTCTCCTGCTGTAGTCCATAAATCATCAGTAGTCTAGAAGACAGTGAAAGGGCAGCTGCAACTTTATTGCTACGCTGCCTCCGCAGAGGTGCTGAAGTAGGAGACAATAAAATAATTGAAGACAGAATAATAGAAGTAAAAAGTATCCAAAGTGTTGCCTACTTTTAAAATTAGATTTCAAATTGAAGTTGTCACAGCAGTGATACAAGATGGATTACAGATTCCACCTCCCCTTCCTAGAAGGTTTGATTAAACTTTAAATTAAAAACAACTTGAGAAGAATGTGGCAGCTGTAACTGCATCAGCAATTCAGACAGCTTAACAGCAGCAGATCCAAAGGGAGAGGCTGAGGATATGACATCCACTTTACACAGATTCCAGAGGGCCTTATTTCAGGCTAGCTTTGGCCTAGCTCTTTGGACCAAATGCCCTTTACAAGCTGTTCCTCTAGAGCTTCCTTTAAAATGAACCCAGTCCACATACTCGGAGGTCACTCCAAACCACAGTTAACATCAGAGCACCTCAGAGGGATGGAACACCTCTCCTATGAGGAAACAGAGTTGTGGTTGTTCAGCCTGGAGAAGAGAAGGCTCCAGGGAGACCTTATTGTAGCCTTTCAGTACTTAAAGAGGGCCTGTAAGAATGATGGGGACAAACTTTTTTAGCAGGGCCAGTAGCAATAGGACAAGGGGTAATGGTTTAAAACTAAAAAGAGGGCAAGTTTAGACTAGACACAAGGAAGAAATTTTTTACAATGAGGGCGGTGAAACACTGGCACAGGTTGCCCAGAAAAGTGGTAGAAGCCCCATCCCTGGAAACATTCAAGGTCAGGTTGGACAGGGCTCTGAGCAACCTGATCCAGTTGAAGGTGTCCCTGCTCACTGCAGGGGGGTTCAACTAGATGACCTTTAAAGGTCCCTTCCAACCCAAACCATTCTATGATTAAATAAGGACAAGCAAAAGAAAAGCAAAATAAGCAGGTTTCTATGGGGAGAAAGAGTTGTCCTTTTCCTAGATTGCAAGAACATGTAGGTAAGTACAGAAAAGCCTCAAGTCTGATGGGATTTCGGATAGTCCAGTGTCAAGAGAAGTGTGGTGGTACATGCAACAACAATATTTAGTATTTATCAGCTTGTAGCCCACTGCATTTGACCCACTTGCTCAGTGCTATCATTTTAGCTATCTAGTCAAAAACACATACACACAAAAAGATATTTAAGTGACATTCAAATCACCATTGAGATCTTAAAGAGGAAGCTTTCCATCAGGATCTTACAACTTCACCTGAAGTTTAAGGAACAGTTATTTGTTGTTTGAACTACACACCAATTTGACTGGTGAGACACAGCACAGGAAATGTGCTTAAAAGTTGCTATGAACTAACATAGAACTAAAATAAAAACTGCTGCTTACTGAGCACTGCATTCTGTACCATCCACCCACAGAATCTATCAGCAATATAACAAAATGTCCTTAGGGCAGGCTTGTTAGCAAAAGCTCTTCCAGCTTGTTAGCCCAAGAGCAGACAAACTGAAAGTGTAGGTGGACATTAAATCCAACCCAAAATAAGTAAGCAGCTTAAGGTAGTATTTCCGCTCATTCTCTTCTAAGGCTCCGACTGTTATTACTGTACCTAGTAGAAAATGGAAGGCTTTAATACAGAAGGATGTCAGCTCTTCAAACATCATTTTCCCTCCCATTTGGCAATGACACTACTGTATTAACACATCAGACTTCTGATTTTGTGGAAGAGGTCAGAGATTTCACACTCGAGCACCACCATCTTGACTTGTCTTTCCCCGTCAGCGGGTTTATCACATTGCAAAGATCAGCCCCTGCAAAAGGCAAAATACTGCTACTAAGTGAACTGGTGCACATGAAAGGGAGTTCTGGACTCAGCAGGTCTCAGAAGACACTTGCTGACACTGAGGCTTCTCTCAAGATGTCCAGGATCCCAGCTCACGGCCTCATGCTGGCCCTCCTGCCAGCACACCTCTGCAAAGAGCCACATGTCACCTTCAGTAGCACCCATGTCACAGGACACCTAGATCTCCACGCTGTCCAACATTTACGCACAATGGGCTGACAGAAGGCCTAAGTGCTACAACCAATTATGTTTAAGACCAGCTATTTAGATTCAATTTACACAAGCTAAGCTTGCCAAAACCAGTGCACTTTAGGACACTTCCTATTTCAGATTTTTTTTTTTTTTTAAATCAGCAATTTACTAAGAAAATAATAACAAGAGACCTTTGTTTCTACTGATGTCTGTATTTTAAAAACTTTGAGTAAGACTTACGCAGCCTTCATAATATAAAATGTCTTTCAGGATCCTAAGTGAAGCTGCAATAAGGTTTGTTTTGTTGCTTGTTTTTGTTGGGTTTTTTTTGTTTTGTTTTTTTAAAAGAACCTTTTTTAGTTTCTAGATAAATGGCCATCTTGAAATATTACCCTTCTGGGGCTCAATAAGTGTCTCCAGTGCTCTAGGTGAGAACACTGGCTGCAAGTGTACTGTATCAGTCTTGATGCCAACACAGGAGTTAGTCATCCTCTGAGTCACTCTCCCCACTGGCTGGGACACACGCCCTGATTGAGGACATGAGCTGGTCCTGGATCTGCTTCCGGGGATTCTCCTCAAGGTCTGTCTTGATGGCACCCGACTCCGAAATCTTCCACTCCAATTCTGTGGAGAGGAAAATGAAAGTCATAAATGTGGGGAGCAAACTGGGCTTTCTTCAGCTCTGACTCCTTCTGACGTATGCTAGTTTATTTACTTCAGTACAACAGCACCTTGTACTTCCTACTTTACCTTCAGAGGTAAAAAAGGACCTCAGATTGCCATAAATCCTCACTGTCCTTCCCACCCTTGCTTCCCCAGCTGACTTCTCTTATCCCCCTGCCATCACCACCACCAAAACCAGGACCCTGCTCTATTCCTTCCCCTCCTCTTCCACCCCCAGGTCCCAGCCCCCACCGTCTCCCACACTTGCTCCAGCCCAGCTCTCCCTTTACAGTCGCTAGCACTGGCAGCACAGGTTTCAGCCCAGGGCACAGAGCTCAGGGTACTGCTCTGCAGCCCATCAGTGGCATTCCCAGTGCCTCCCCGCTCCCTTCACAACCAAGAGTGCAAAAGAGGTGATTGATACAAAGCAGCAGCTTTAGAGGCAGCTGCTCTCCCAGTGGAAGGGAATCCCACCTCCTTCTAACCAGGTAAGGACAGAAGACAGATTTGCACAGTTATTGCCAATGAAGGAATATTGCTCATATATTACAGCTGTTTCTGTCATATACTGAGCTCATTACAATTAGAGGCAGGGAAGAGATTTGTTGAGGGTCAAAAACATGAGGCACATCCATTTACACATCCAAATGATAGGTATTTTTCAGAGATGTACTTTATAAATGCAATTCAGCCCTTTTCTACCACACCATGTACTGATTATTAGTTCCTTAGCAAGACAGTAAGAGAGACTCCACTATCAGCAGTAGGCTGATTACTACACAGACCCAAATTGGATTGCTTCCCAAAAGCAGTAGAAAGTCAATACAACACATTCAGCTGAAACCTCTCTCCTAGTCCTGCTGGCAACCCTGTTATTAAATCTGATTTCCTTCAGACATTGCAGAGTAATGAATACAATCTCACACTTTCTTTAATCTCCAGAAGTTACCTCGTCTTAGGGGAGAAGGAAGAAAGAAATAAAAGAAACTGCAGAATTTCAGTGCCTAGCTTTCTGTGATGGCTGAATTAAGCTAGCTCAGTCACTTTTGGGCCCACCCAAAATCAATCATTTATGTGCTAAAAATGGGAGAAAGCTAACTGTAGATTCTGCTACCACTGCTCACTTTAGTGTGTAATTAGGCAGCCACTGTAGTTAAGAGTTAGCTGCTCTCAAATCAGAGAGCTCATTGGTGAGTTTTTACCCTTCTGACAGTTCAAGGCAGGAGAGCATTTTCTAAAGCACAGGCTCAAGATATCCTGTAAACTTCAGGATTTTAGTAAAAAAACCTCTTTGCATCCTATCCCAGTACAGGCAGTGACATCATTCATCAGGGACCCTGAAATGCTGTTTAACTGTGGTTCACTTCAAATAAAGATGCCCTTAAAGTCTGATCTTGAAAAAGCTTGAGGGCATCTGGACCAATATGCCTACTCAGAAAGCTGATGAGTACCTTTTTAACTGAAGTAAAATCTAAGTTAAATCCAAGTGGCATTTGCTTTCCAAGAGCCTTTTTCACTGCCGACCTCAGTCTTCAAGCACTGCTGTACGATACTATCCCTGACCAACCACCTCCAAACAGCAGCTTTTACTGAAGAGCAACAGTGTCCCAAGAGACCTGCATCAACGCCCTGATCTCCTGAAGCATGTCATGCTGACAAGGTGACACAACCCAGCTTGCTCCAGGCTGCTGAGATGGGAAAGGAGAAACAGGTTTAGGGAAACTCATGACCTCCAAGAAAGGTAACAGCCTCTCCTCATAGAGCCCTGTGCCCCCTGAACCCCTGAGGCAAGAGCTTAGTGTGCTGCCATCTCCAGGAGATAGCAAGAGGAAAAGGAAGCAGCCCAATTTCAGGCTAGCAGCCCCATCTGGACAAACAGACAGGCTCCCTCTAAAGGTTCATGAAGAGTGGAGCCTGCATATCAGGAAGGTACAACAGACAAGGGTGACAGAGCACTGGAACAGGCTGCCCAGAGAGGCTGTGGAGTCTCCATCTCTGGAGATGTTGAAAATCTGCCTGCACATGTTCCTATGTGATCTACTCTAGGTGATTCTGCTCTAGCAGGGGGGTTGGATTAGATGATCTTCAGAGGTCTCTTCCAACCCCTACCATTCTCTGATTCAGTGTGACAAATATATGCCATCGGCTTGAAAATGAAACAAGAAGCCCTAGAATGCAATAGGCAAGCACCAGTTATTAAGTACACAGATTACCAAGTAACTGTGGCCAAGGTCAGTAATTAAGGTGCAAGAGCCCCAAAGAACATGCATGGGTACTACTTACCCTTTATTATATTCAGAAAAATTTCTTTCACCCAACACAGGGTGTGAACACTTGCACACACATAAGAGAAGTATCTATATGTTTGCCTACTCAGGCACTCGCTGGTTCTCCAAGATAGCCTTAATTGCATGTTGTTGTTGAGCCATAAGGGTACAAAAAAAAAATTCTAATAAGATTTTTAGTACCTTCTTTCTCCTCCTAAGTCTCACTTCTCTCATTCACAGCAAAGCAGTTTTGCTTCTCCTTTGGAAGACCGGAGATACAGACACTCACCATCCCTTGTCAGGTTCATGCCACCAAACACCAAAGGCCCAATGAACTGAGCTTTGATGTCTCCCTCCAGGTAGATGAATATCGTAGGCAGGTTCTTATCGGGGTAGTTGGGAATGCAGGTGGTAGAGATAGCTTTGATGAATTTCACATCTCTGAACTTTCTTGCAAGACTGCTCATATGTTGATTTATTAAGGCACAGAGTGGAATTCTGCGAAGAACAGCAATAGACACACATAAGGAAAAAATAAAAGACAAATTAGACAGTAATCTGCTCCAGAAGAAAGGTCAGAAATACCAGCTCAATTAGTAGCATTTATGGAAAGACAAATGTACCAGAGTAACTTCTGAATACTTTTGTTGCACAGTATTCCACAATTCAAAGTGAATCAGTATCACTGTGTGTTAGTTTTGGGGGGAGGCACATTTTTGGTAGTGGGGGAAGAGGCCATTGACCTGAACAAAAGACGACCATCAGCCTAAACAAAGAAAGAGCTTCATTGCCAGGAGGAAGGAGGAGGAGGGAGAGGACAGAGAACCTCAGACACCCAGTTCAACTGCATGGAGCAGGAAAAGGCAAAGGAGGTCCCTGCAGCCCATGGAAGTTCAACCAGAGCAGATACCCATGTGCAGGCCATGGAGGACTCCACGCTGGAGCAGAAAGCTGAGCCTGAGGGTAAGCGTGACTGAAATTGAGACCCCAGAGTTGCTCTATGCCAGAGCAGGGGTGGAGCCCCAGAGCCAGGGGCAGGGTGAGGAGGTGCGCTGGAGCAGAGACCTGTCTGCAGCCCGTGGATGTCCCCATGCTGGAAGCCAGGAGCTGTGCCCAAAGAGGTCTGTGACTCCACGGGAAGCTCATGTTGGAACATTTTGTTCCTGGACTTTCATGCCACGAAGAGCAGCAGAGGTGAACTGCAACCCCTATTCCCTGCCCCGTGTACCTCTAGGGGGGAGAAGGTACAGAAATTGGGAGCAAAGTAACTTGAGCCCAGGAAGAAGGGAGGGGTAGGGGGAAGGTGTTGTAAGATGTGGTTGTTATGTTCCACTGTGCTATTTGGATGTATGGCGACAAATTAAATTGATTTTTCTTCCCCAAGTTGAGTCTGTTTTGCCCGTGACCATAACTAGTGAGTGAGTCACCCCTGTCCTTCATTCCTAATCCGTGCCCCCTTTGTTGTGATTCCCTTCCCATCTTACCAGATGGGGGGGAGTGAGTGCAGGACAGCATGGTCCTACTGTGGTTAAACCACCACACACTGGAAGTTTTGTTGGGTAGTGGGTTTTTTGTTTTAAGATATTAGCAATATCTTAAAACATACAGATAAATTGTTTTATGAAGATATGACACTTAGAATTTGCATGAGCAAGAGCAAAATAGAAAGAAAAGCAGCTCCTGGAAGAAAGTATGCAAATGATTAACACCTGTGAGGCAACTAGAGACAATTAACAAAATCAAGTCTTTCTAACCCTTTCCAGAAAATTCTAGCAATTTATCAGACCTTTTTGACAAGTTTTTCTATCAGACAAGACCAGAAGCCTTGTTCACTCAATTTTTATGCCCCTAGAAACCATGCTAAAGACACACGGTGATCCTTCTAATGCACAGCCCCTCACACTTTATCAAGAATAATTTCCAAAGCCTGGATTCTTCAGTGGCAGCAGCTACCTCTATGACAGCCGTATGGTACAAGTCACACTGTGCTGTATAGATGTATAAAAAAAAAGCCACTTTATGATAGCATCGTTTTAGACCCAAGTTCAGCAGATTTGAGTCAATAGAAATGAAATTACTAATGCAGTTTTTTATTTCTTAAAACTCCAGAATCGGTTCCTTAATTTCCACAATAACTACAGATCTGTCTAGAGTATTTTCAGCTACTGACAGTGAAAAGTTTAAAGGTTAAAAACAAATTCTTACCCTTGCTTGTAGAGGTGCAGGACTACCCATATACCTTTTCCAGCTTTTGTAACTTCTTGAACATAATCTTTTCCAGAAATCTCCAAAACTTCCCCAAATTTATTCTTCATTTGAGCTGCCTTCATTTCTGCTAACCTTTGCCGTCTGAACAGCAAGGAATGGAAAAGAGATCTTGAGAACAGGTGAATTTTTGACAGAACAACACTTGAAGGAGCTGGCTGAAACCTAGACTTCAGAGGCATATTACAAACTTCTCAAACCCGAGAGCAACAAAAGCAAGTTGTCATAGTCAATAGATGCTCTCATATTTGCATCTCATGTTAAAACTGCCAACGTGCAAGAAGTACAACTCTGTTTCATTATTTTTTTTTCCTCCTCATTTCTGCCCTCAGCAGACATGTCTTCTGCAGATTTATACTACTAAACTAAATGGCAAAAACTACAAGAGATAGTAGAGCTAAAGAGATAATGGAAAACCAACACTGTAATTACATTAATCTGCAGCACCTTAATCTCATTCATGCAAAAATTGAGAAGTCTTGGAGGTGATTTTCAACACCCTCAGAATCCCCAGCCATGCACTCAACAGGTGCACATTATCTCTGCAAAACTAGGCTGTAGATAAAGGACACTGAATTTAAACCCAGTTATCCTATTAAAGACACTCAGAAGCTCTACAAGAGACTAGAAACACAACCCACTTTTTCTGTCATCAGGCACAACAACATCCTTCCTCTCTTCAACAATATCTACCAGCACATAAAAGAAAAACACTCCCATTTTCATTAAAGCCAAATTTTGCATGCTGCTCTGACCTGTACATTTCAATAGCTTTCTCATCTTCCTCGTTAAATTCATCTTCGTTCTCTTCTAGCTCTTCCAGAGTCATGTCCTCATAAGTTTTCACTAGAATGGAAGAAACATCACACCAACAAAAATCTCATTCCAGGATGAAAATGCATCAGCTCTTACCAGCTCAGCAGAACTTATTTACTTTAAGGACAGATTAACTATGGGAAATACAGCTTTTTAAAGTATTATTGTTACTGGAGTTTTAGAAAATACTACACGCTTTAGACATGTAGATGGAAAGTCAGTGATATAAAGGACTCTGAGCTGAAGGCTGCCTAGACTAGCACACAAGTACCTGCACTAGCTTTCAGTTTGGTGGCTGAGCAAAGACATATCTAACACACACAGAACACAGCAGGGATGTCTGAACAACAGAGGAAGGAGGAAGCATATAATAGGTAACGTCATAAGATACTTTTACCTACAAATTCACATGACAGACTCCCTTAACACTGTTCTTGTTTCAAACATTTACTTCTATAAAAATAGAGAACAAAGCTTTCCTGTGCTGGAAGAATCCACGTGTTCAGGAATGTATTTGTATTTGTTTGATACTGTTAACAGACAATCACCCTATAGGAGAAGCAGCTTTGGTATCCCTTACAGACTTGCTTTACAGCTATATAAACATTACTGCTGGCCATTTCTTTGCACAGGCTTCCCCCAGGAGCCATTCCAAGACTTGTCCTGCTGCTGCCCGAGTTGGCCTGGTCACTGACCGAGAGACTTCTGAAGGATGGCAAGCTGTTCCTCTTCCTTTGCACGTTCCTGTTCCTCCAGGTTTTCCTTTGGAGGAAGGATACCTTTCTTGCGTAGGATGTCATTCCACTCCGTGTCTTTATTTGGGTCCTAGAACAGAACAAGAAATGGCTGATGTGCATTCAAGGTGAACTTTACCACTTCAAGAACTTGACACAGGCAAGTTTTTTAAGAGACATAGCACATTGCTAAATTGGTAACTGCCTGGATGGCACCAGAAAGTCACAGCATGCATCCTCCTGATGCTGAGGCCTCTTCACAGCCCCAGACCAGTACCCTGAAAGGGACTTTTTTTTATTGCATCCACTCACAGCATGTACAGGCAGTCTTGGTAGGGGACATAAGTTTGAAGCATTGTAACCATCACTGAAGCTCTCACAAGGTGGAAGGAAAGGGCAGGCTATCAGCTGAGTGACAGGGAAGCACACTAGCAACAGCGCACACATACAGAGTCTCAGCAGAACAACAGGCCACCCAACCAGTGGTCATTGTATCGGGAAGCGGTGGTGAGAAGACACACAGGTGCCAGCCTTGCAGACCTAACTCGGGACATACAGGAACTCTCCTTGGTAGATTCAAGTCAATGCGACTACACAAGTGCTCGAAGAGAAGTAAGCACAGTATCTGCCACACAAGCCCATTGCTAGGAAATCAGATCTAAATCTACCTACACTCCTCCTGGAAGTTAAATAGAGATTTTACTGTGAAACAGTTGCAATACAAAGCAAATAGGCACCCATGTATTGTTGAGAAGCTCAAGTATAAGTTCTTCCAAGTTCAAGAGCAATTTTTATTTTTATTTTTTAATATATACATGAAGATTCAGTGATAAACACTCACAGTCTGATTCTGGTTCCTTACTGTCTTGACCCATGTTCAATTTGAAAACTGAATACAACACCTACTGCCTTGCTATGGGTGTATTGAGGGGAGGGGGAAATACAAAAATAAAACAAGATAGCACGGCAAATAGCACACCATTATTATTTTTTTAAAAAATCTCTCTGGTAATTTTTCCTTGACACAGCATTTCACAGCATCTACTGCCATTTATATATATGTAATATTTATATATAAGTGACACATATGACACATACTGTCATACTGACGAAGTGCCCGAGACACTCACCCACCCCTCTCCTTACTACGGCAGGGAAATAAATAAAAGTACTTGAAAAATGAAACCAACAAACCCCCACAAAACCAAGCCGCGGAGCTTCACAACAAGATCTCCGCATGACAGACACCTCCGCTCCCAGAAAGGGGGATAA